CAACTACTTTGAAGACAATAAGATTCACTAAGATGCCCATTCTGGTTTGACTATTGTCTTCTTTGGAAGTCCTGTAATGTTTACAATGCCTAAGTTTTATTGGTCTTGTTCTCTACTGTTTTGTCCAACTTTATAATATCTAATGAGATAGACAATTCTTTTTAAGGAAACAAGAGACAATGTTGATAACCATTGTTGATAACCTTGTACTTTGTTCTACACCATGTGCTATGTCTATCCTTGGTATTGACTGACAGCTTTGTTTTGCCATATTTGACTGTATTCTCTCCCCCCCCCAAAAAAAAGTAATAAGCACTAAGGAGTAATAAAATCCAAAATGTGTAAATTTTGTTGTAAAAAAGAGAGGGAAAAAAAAAAGAAAAAGAGCTCTAACGGATATAACAGCAAGTGTGTTTAGGGGTGTTAAATAGCTGACTATATCAATGTTTTTGGATCATTGAACACAGCTGTTTGCAGTCTCCCTGTTTGAATGTCCACCTTGTATTCTTTGATACTGTGATTTGAGCAACTATTTTCAAGATGATAATATGTAATCTACTAACAGGTGATTTCTTACTGTTATGTTTTTGTTTTGTTTTGTTTTGTTTTTGTAGTTCTGTATTACGTGTACCCTTACACCGCTTTGTTTTGTTTTGTGTTTTTCTCTTTTTCCTCTTAATAAAAAAAAAAAGAAAACAGGAAAAAAAGAAAATGTGATTAACAATCCAAGAACTAGATGACCTTGTTAGTATCTTAATTCTGATCTATACATGATGATTAACTTTTGGCTAAACACTAACCCCTGAGCCTCAATTTACTCATCTGTAAAATTATAACAGATCACCTGCATCTTAAGGTTGTTGTGATGATATTTATTAGATTCATGAAATTAAAGCCTTTAAAAAAGGATCTTACATAAGAGTCAAGTCATTCTGTGCTATCAACTAGTATTATTATCATGAACTTTGATATTAGCTCAATAGAATCAAACAGAATTGGGTTAACATTTTATCATAGCACTTTGTTCTATGAATTTCTTTGGCTTAGAGTTTAAGTGTTAGATTCTAAATCTTCATAGTAGGGTGACATCTCCTTCCTGTTGGAGAGGGGAGGATCAATGAAATATAAGTATTTCCTACTACTATACCTGACACATAAAACCCTTGAAAACACTTCCTATCATTATTGTACTAACTGGATAGGCCCTGCCCTTTAAGACTGTCATGTAATGAAAAAGAAAACATAAAGGAAAAAGAATTAAAGAAACAGGAATAGGGTATGGTACAGACGCAGGTGGGAGAATATACAAGTTAGAGCAACCACAGGGTTTCAAAACAGGAGATGAAACAACAGCCAACAGTGATTAGGTCAGAAGAACATGGTGAGGGGCTGGGGATTTAGCTCAGCGGCGTAAGCACCTGCCTTGCAAGCAGGCAGTCGTGAGTTTGATCCCCGGTACCGATAAAAATGAAAAAGACAAAAAAAAAAAAAAAAAAAAAAAAGAAGAACATGGTGATGAAAATACCAAACCAAGGGGCTGGGGATTTAGCTCAGCGGCATAAGCGCCTGCCTTGCAAGCAGACAGTCGTGAGTTCGATCTCTGGTACCGATAAAAACGAAAAAGACCAAAAAAAAAAAAAAAAAAATACCAAACCACACTTGGACCTTGGTGCTGTTTCCTTCACCCTTCATGGAGCTGCTCCTTGCACAGACCCTCAGTTTTCCCTGTAACACACTATGTCTCTCAGCCCCTTTCTTGTCTTCTTACAGCAGAAGAAAAGACCCCAGGTCTCTCTGCAGGTGCCATTGCTGGTATAATGGCTGGGGTCTTGGTTGGGGTGGCCTTTGCCATCAGCCAAGGGTTTTTCTTGCTCCTCACAAGGTACCAAGCCTCCCCTCACCTGACTCCACCCCCAGGTTGACAAAGAACAGGAGGAAAGAGACCCCCATCCTCTCAGGCTCTCGGGTCTCCTCACTTCTCACTGACCTTTCCCTCTCACTCTGCCCAGCTCCTCCATTGGCTGCTCTGATCCTGAGCTGCTTCTTCAACAGTTTACACGTCAGTAAAGTAAACTGGGCATAACTAAAGATCTGTGCCCTTAGCATGGCCCCAGCTCCCGTACTGCAAACCTGCAGCTTCTATGGGAGATGGTCACTATTCAGAAATCAGATTCAAGGCACTCCCCATAGCCTCTAATCCCACTCCCATCCCATCATTTTCCGATCTGTCCCTGGCTGGGTCTCCCTGGAACCAGCCTCCTCTCCGCACTCAACACCAAGACATGGGTGCAGGGCTCTAACAGTGAAACTTTCCAGGCTCCAAGTGTTCATACGAAGTGTCTCCTCCCAAGCCTGCCCTACAGGATGTACACCTGCAGCACCTAGGCCACTGCTCTGATTTCTTCCCTGAGGCCTTGGGCATGGTGACATGCTCACATACGTCCACTTGTGTCAAGCATCACACATTCTCATAAATAAACTGCCTGTGTGCTAAATAAAGCTAAGAGCACTTTCAGCCATTCCCTGAGTGTTGCCTGTCCTGAGATGAGAAGCAGGAAATCTACTCAGTTTTACATCATGATTTAGCCCTAGTAAATCCTTATCTCACATGTGCATAGTGCCAGATTAAACAAGATAACTGCTCTTGCATTAGGTTCCTATTGAAACTTTGACAAGTTGTCACAAAGTGCCATAAAACAAGATGTCCAAGATTTAGCTCAGTGGCATAGGTGCCTTCCTGGCAAGTGCAAGGTTGTGTTTGATCTTTGGTACCAAAAAAAAAAAAAAAAAGACGTCTTGGCTGTACTGTTTCGTGAGGCTCCAGGGCACAGTCTGTTTCCTCACCTACGCCAGCCTCTGGCAGCTACCTACTCTCTTAGCCAGTGGCCCCTTTCCCCACCTTTGAAGCTGGCTGTGTGGCCTCTTGAAGTCCCTTTTCTTTTACTCTTCGCACTCCTCCCTCTCTTGTGAGGAAAGGATCTTGTAATTACCTTAGACTCACCTGGAAAAACCACAAGCATCTCCCAAATTCATGATCTGTCTTTTACCACAGAACACATTCACAGATTCTGCAAATGAATATAGGGACATCTCTTCAATGGAAACTTGTCCTGTCCACATCTCAAGGCAGTTTTGTCATCTTCTTTTCTAAAAGCTTCTCATGGATACCTAGATTTGGGTCATCCATCCTGACTGTGGTGTCATTTGTCCACAGTGCCACCAGCTCCTGAGAGGCCAGAAGGAAGGACACAACACACTCCAGCACACCTGCCCACCTTCTCCCTTGTGATGATGCTCAGCTGATAGCAATAAAAGAACTGGACGCTCACAGTTCACCCTCCCCGCCCCCTTCCACTAGTTCCTGGTCGTCAGGACCACACACAGTATCTTAGGGTCCCTGGTTCCCAGGCACTGCAGCAGGGGGACACAGATGAGAAGGGACTCTTTTCTATTTTTCAAAAAAAAAAGCCAAAGGTAGAAAGTTATTCCAGGGATGATCTGCGTCTCCTCTAATTTACACATAGTGGTCCCTCCACAGCTATCTGAGTTTGGGTTCTTGGTACATCCATCACATTCCCTGAAAGGCACCATATTCTCTGAGGCACCACAAGCATGGCCTCAAGGAAGCTGAGAGCCTGATCCAACCTCATAGTCTCTGCCCTAAGACACAGGGCTGGGATTTAGCTCAGTGGTACAGAACTTGCTAACCACGGGCAAAGCCTTGCGTTCAGGCTCCACCACTGCAAAACAAAAACCAAAATTTAAAAACTAACTTCCCCACAGGCACAATCACTGTCTCTGCCTAAACGCTGTGATGACTTTCTCATTAACTTCTGGCCCCTGGTGCGTTTCCTTGAAACCATACTCACCACCCCACCTGAAGCAGCTCCCAAGCAAGCATCCTGCTGAGCCCCCAGAAGGCTGAAAATGCGATGTATCAATACAGTGCTGAAACACCCCTCAGCAGTAAAAGGAAAAGGAGAATTCATAACACTGCAATGTGGATTATCCTTGAAAACATTATAGTACATCAAACAAACCAGTCACAAAAGATCACATATGGTATAATTCAATTATGTGATTCAGTATCTCCAAAACTGGAAAATATGTACAGACAGAAAATAAGACTAGTGGTTGTGTATAGCTACAGGGATTTAGAGGAAATAAGGGTGACCATAGAGATAGAGTTTCTTTGGGGATTGAAAAATGTTTCAAAATTGACCTCAATGATAGTTGTACACGTTTGTAGATACACTAAAAACCACTGAATCAGACACTTAAAATAGGTGATTCATAGTATGTTATATCCCAGTAAAGCTTTATAAATTAATAAACATAAGAAAATGCTCAAAATATAATTGTCTTGAAGTTTTTCCTATGTATTGAGCTTCATATTAGATGTTGTTATATTTTTTCATCAGTGACACAGTATGATTACAGAAACTCATGGATAAATGGCAGAGTACTTGCAGCGTTGCCTCTGCCTTGAGCCATTTTCCCCCTTTAGCTTGAAGCCAGACCTTTTTTGTTTTTACTTTTGAAACAAGGCCTCTCTAAATCACAAAGTTGCCCAGGCTAGGCTCAAACTTTCAATTCTCCTGCCTCAGCCTCCCAGATTTCTGGGTTTACAGACATGAGCCATCACATTTGACCCATTTTTTTTTTTTTTGAGACAGGGTCTCATTGTATAGTCCAGGCTGACCTTGAACTCACTCTGGAGCCCTGGCTGGCCTCAAACTCAATCTTTAGTCATTCTTTAAGGACAGTAATGAATTGCCTTAATCTTACTTCATCAGAGAATATATCCTTATGTTCCCCTCATTCCTGAAAGATAGTTCTTGGCTACTGGACATAACACCATCATTTTGCAAGACCTCTCTATCTGAGTCACTGCCTGGACATGCGTAGCCTTCCTCATACCTCCCACACCTCCACACTCTCGAAGATCACAAGACAAAACATAAATGTAACTCTACAACTTTATTTGATTATATGAAGGGATCTGGGTGGGTGTCTAGTCCAGCTGGATATCAGTGCTTGAAGATAAGCAGGAAGCCTAAGAGGACGCTCCAAAAAGAACCTAGACTGGAATGTCCTGCACCAATAAGCCAGGACTTCTCTACAATGTTTAGCTCCTCAGTCACTCGGATGCTGCCAATATGATGAAATTTTGCTAAAAAACTTCTATATGCATTAGTACAGCCCATGAGCAGGAAAGTGGTATTGAGAGACCCTATAAGAAGAAAGGAAAGAATCAGTGACACTTTCAAGACTTGAGAGTCCCTCCCTCTTCTCAGAACCCCTACCCTTAGGCACCAGCACCCTTATCTCTTCTTGACATTCATGTGGCTGGTCCACTGCACCCCTGTTCCCATCTCCAAATCCCAGCTTCTCTCAGACATAAGAAGGCACTAGGTAACACCTAGCATAGCATAGGTATCAGATAAACTTTTCCTCTCACCTGCCTGAAATTTTATGGTGGCACTGTAACATGCAAAGGCATTCATAGGGCAAGACTCAAGGACGACAAACACTGGAAGACATTCCCGGCTGTGCTCACCCACACAGGATGGGCAGTTATGGGAAGAATATACCACAGACTTAGAATCTGTGGCCTTGAGTCTCACAAATGGCTGCAGGGTGGTGAGGTTGTTGCAGAGATAGGTCCGACAGACGTGGCTATAGGAAGCAATGGACACTCCAGGTGGAGAAACAAGGTAGGAGACTTGTGGAGAATAGGATGAGGCTGAGCTGCAGCCTTTAAAACCCAAAACTCCCTTATGGGTCCCTGAGGAGCAGAGGATTTGTCGTCAGTGTCATTTACCTCACCTAGAGTCCATCCCTTCCCCCCACGCTTCCCATCCCCACCCTGCTCAGGTCAGCTTTGCTTACCCTCCATGTCTACTCACTGCAGCTGCCGGGGTCTCCATCTGTGTCTCCTCATCCTTTGCTCGGCAGGAGACCCAATTCTCTCTCCCTTGTGACCCATCCTTTTCTCTTCCTCCAGTGACCTGCCCAATTCCATTTTGCCTTCTTACCCAGCCCACAGTTTAAACAACTGGGACCCACCCTGCTCTTGCAGTGCCCTAACGCATTTCCAAACACAGAGTGAAGTAAATATATGGAACTCTAGTCCTGGGTACTGAAAATGGAACTGGGGTCAAATGAGTGAGCAAAGGAAAAGTTTATCAAACTCTATCCCCACTTTACCTGTCTCGATGTACACTAGTGTCTCTTCGCAGCCTTCTCTCTGCTTACACACCATGCTCCTCAACAGAAGCCAGCGCCAGTTAGAGAAGGTAACTCCTCTGAAAAGTGAAGCTACTGCTTCGTAGCACAAAAGACCTCCAGCCCCTAAAAGGGAGAATTTTTTCTGTTCATTTACTGCGCGCACACACACACACACACACCATCACCTTCTTTCCCTTGAATTGCCAATCAGCAGCTCAGCATCCAAGTCCCCTGAAGAACCCAAACACTCAGCCCTCCTTCCCCCAGTGGCATGGATCCAGCTTCCCACTCTTTGGAGTCTTAAAACATCCAGGCCCTCAGGACATACGAGGCAGGAAGGTGATGGCCCATAGAAGGCAGAGCAGCTGCACAGGTCGCAAATGCTGGGGTCCCATGGTTCTGTGTCTAGCTCCTGGATGCTAGAGGTCAGTCTGGAACTAATTCTGATCTGGGTTCTTGATGGTCCCTTAGTGCTCTGTCCACCTGCCTCTAGGTCACTGTCTCTAAAGCAGAAAGTTGACTGTGTCAGTTACTGCGGCACAAACTCTCTCAAGACCGTTAGGACACAAATTTCTCATCTCCCTCCAATCTAAACTGCACCCAACAAATCCACTTCTAAAGTGTCCCCTACTCTCCCACCTAGGTCCTCTCCCTGGCCACAATGCTGATCCAAAGGACCAGAATTATATAACTGTTCTCCAGCCAGATGCAATGAGATCACAGTGGCACACGAATGCTTAAAACACCTGTGTGTGAAAGTTAATTAGCATATTAGTAAGTACAGTTTGAATAAAGAAATTTTTCAAATATTTAAAATTGGAAAAATTTTCTTCTCTGTTTCATACGCACATGCACACACACACACACACACACACACACACACATAATCTGTTGAAAACTAAGGTTTCTAGTTAATAGCATTGTTCTGCTCTGTTACATGAGATGTCCTCCTGGGGAAGAGGTCAATGGATGCTGCATTCTTTTTGCAGTTTTCCATGAGCCAATAACCACTTCAAAACCAAAAGTCTTTTTTAAACTACAAATCAAAATCTAGGATACAACAAAAGCAGTATTTAGAAGTAAACTTATACTGTGGTTTTGGTTTTTGCACTAGTGGGAATCGAACCCAGAAGTGCTCTACTACTGACCTACATCCCCAATCCTTTTTTTTGTTTGTTTGTTTGTTTGTTTGTTTTTGAGACAGAGTCTCACTAAATTGCTCTGGTGGGGACTTGAACTTGTATCCTCCTGTCTCAGCCTCTCTCAGTGCTGGGATTATAGGCATGTGTCACCTCACCTGGCATAAGTGAATTTATAGTTTTAAAAACATTTATCAGGAAAGAAGAAGTACAGAAAAATAAGTATGTTTATGAATTACCTCAAGAAGTTATAAACTATAAAAAAACTGCTAAAAAAAAGAATGGAAATAAAAATAACAGTAATGAAACAATAACATTATTTTCTTTAAAAATCTTTGAGCTGGAGGTGTAGCTCAATGGTAGAGCTCTCACCTACTATGCACAAAGCTCTGGGTTTAATCTGTGACACTGACAAAAAAAATCTAACAATTTTTTGGGAAGATTAATTAGATACTTTTTTGGTAATTCAGCTCAAAAAAGAAGATGCAAATAAAATACTGAATGAAAACTGGTAAATAACAGAGAATGTTTTACAAATCATAGAAGTGGTATTGACAATTAGTTATCATTGATAAATCTGAAAATGTAAAATGGATAAAAATATGAAATATAAAATGCTTAAGTTGGCATAAGAATATATGTAACACCTTAAGGCCGGGGGTTTTATCTCAGCAGTGTAAGTGCCCGCCTGGCAAACACAAGGTCCTAAGTTCAACTCCGGTACCCCCCCAAAACAAACAAACAAACAAAAAAGAATATATTTAACATCTTAAACCAACAACAATGGCTAAGGATCTCCTACAAGTCAAAAGGAAAAATGGACCAAGTATATAAAGAGGTAATCTTCAGATGAGCAGGCTAGAAATGTATGAAGGCATACATTTCAAACCCAACAATAATCAAGGAAATGCTAGGCCAATCCTGAGATGTGTCCTTGTTGTGCATGTCTTGGACTGCCACTGCCAATGATAAGAAAACCAGAAAATGACAAGTGTTGGCATGAATGTAGGTACAAATCGGGGATACTCTGATGAACAAAGAAGTTGAGAGGTCTGATTTTAGGTCCAACATTACATTACATTGTAGGGAGAAGTCTGACAATATTTAGTCAAACTAGGTTTATATACACCCATTTGTGTTATATCCTAAGGCAATGGAAATTTCCACATCAGGAATCTGAGGCCACAGAATTAATTGATGGTAAATTGAGACAACAGAACATTCCTTCCTGAAACTAAGTGAATGCACAACATGCAGCGGATACCCACCACAGAACGTCACACAGCAGTTAAAAGCGATCAGTTAGATGTACACATGCATACCTGGGCAACCATAAAAAGTATAGCATTATTTTAAGTAGTAACTAACACAATATCACTTCTATAAATTGAAAACTCATACATAGCCGGGTGCATAATCCCAGCTGCAAGAGAGACTGATGCAGGAGGACTGAAAGTTCCAAACCAGCCTAGGCCATTTACCAAAATGGAAGATAAAGGGAAGTCTCAAAAGGGAAGATAAAACGCTAAAAAGTGTAGCTCAGTGATAGAGTGCTTACCCAGTATGCTTGAAGCCCGGGGTTCAAATACTAGTATCACAAAAGTACTAATTTTTTTAAATCTTGGAAGAATATATACAAACCAAAAGGCACACAGAATGACTCTGCCTATAGAAAAGTTAAGGAATGAAATCTAGGAATAAGGATTAGTGGAAATAACCAAAACAATGTAGAAAGGGATATGAAGTTCAAAGGTCTTGCACTCAAGGAGCATATTTGTAATCTTTATCATTCCACGTACTGGCTTTGCAGTCATGTGCAATTTCCTGAACTCTGAGCCTTTCTCATTAATGTATTTCTTAAATAGGGATCTGGGATGGCTAGAGGGAGGGAGGGAAAGAGGATGAAAAAAGGAATTAAGCTGTGCTATGTGTACATACCAACTACAAACAAGAAATGTAAACATTATGTATTGCAATCATGCGCTAATAAAAGAAACCCTGGAGCAGTTAAAAGAAAATAAAATGTACTAATACACCTCAGAGGGTCATTGTAAAGAGTAATAAGATAATTTGATATAAATTGCCAGGGAAATGCTAAACCTTATTAATAATAATCTTATTAATAAATGCTAAATGTTATTTCCTCTCTCTTCCTCCTCCCTCCCCACTTAAAAGATCAGATTTCAATCTCTTAAACTGGCATGTAAAACCCTCACCCATCCACCTCACCACACCCCCGACCGTCTCCAAACAACCTTTTCAACGTACAGCGCTCCTGCACAGCAGCCTAGCTGGAGGTCACTTCCACCACCTTTTTCAGCTGGAATGGCACAGACACATGTGTCTCTAACTCAGAATCTGTGGAATCAAAGGAGTCAGAGCCCAAGAAAAGACAGGACATGGGAAGGGGAAATCTGACAAAGAGTCACACAGAGGAACTTGGGGGGGAGGAATCAGAGGAGACTGCACACACCAGCCTGTGGTGCAAAACAATAGGACTCAACACTGTGAGCACAAGCAGAAACCCAAGCAGAAAAGACTTGAAATCCTAAAGATACAACGATGGGAGAGTCAGAGGGGACCTCACCACAACAGACAAACCTATAGGGCGCAGGGGCAGCCTGACGGATAGCACATAGAATAACGACAGAACCGGCGGAGTGCACAGCAAAGGGGCAGGAAAAAGAGGCGTGGGGCGCAAAGATGGGTGAAGTAACTCAGATGGTGAACAATAAATGGGGAGCCAGAGGAGAGCTAGGCGGCGCCTCATTCACATCCGGGTACCAGATGCATAGAGGAAATGGAACACTAGGTGAGGATGGGAAAGGAAGACAAAAGGGGGTCTTTAGGGAGATACAGAGAAGAGGGGCAACCTAGGAAGAATGAAATCCATGAAGAAGAAGCACACAGATGTGAAGGGCCACAAAGACAGAAAAAGGAAAAGAAAAAAAAAAAATAAAACTACAAACGAGACAGGATTTCAAGGGAATGGAGCACTAGGAGGACATGGGTCAGAAAAGGAGTAAGACAGACAAGCAGAGGCAGTTGGTCATAGACACTGAGGCACAAGAAAACGGGAGCAACTTTAGAAAGTGAGAACTGCGAAGAAACAAGGAACTCACAGGGTAGGAAACGCATACGAGAAGGGGAGCTCGGGAATTAGAGAACCAAGAGAGTGGCGAGAGAGAACAAGGCAGTCCAGCCTCAGAGCGCAGGCGAGACAAGGGCGTGGCGGCGCATGCGCAGACCGTCTGGATAACGCTCTCGACGTGAGGGAAGCGAGGCAGAACCTGCTGTTGCTGGGGGCAGGGCCGGCCTCGGTCCTGGAGGCAGTACTCGACGCCCCATTGGCCACCTCTCCTGAAAAGGAATAGTCTGGAAATGCCAGCCACGGTGGGGGAGGGGAGATTAACGGGCACGCGATTAAATTCGACGCACTATTGGCTAGCTTGCTACTCTGCCACCTGTAGAAGTCCAAACGGAGGAAGAGGCGGGGCATCAACGCACCATCTCAAACCGCATTGGTTGCCCTGTGTGGCCGGTGCTCGAAGCTCATTGGTCCTTGTAGGAAGACGAGGGAAAACTAGCGCGAGCGTGACCGTTCCTCACACTACTTTCTCTCCCCTACCCTTGACCTCCTCGCCACTGAGTCACTCCGCTCGAGGCTGTGGTAACCACGGGGTGGCGGCATGAACACGAGCCCTCCCCACCCTCTCCCTACTGCTCCTTCTCTCTTGCGCGGGATCCCCCACCCAGCCCCCAAGCATCCTCTTGGCCACCTCGCGCCCCTCGCACCCCTCTCCATTCCCCCACCCGCGGGCCTCTTGGCGCAGCGCGTTCCTCGTGCCCTGCCCCCTCCCTGACACTCTGGAGCGCGGTAGAGCCACAGGCAGGCGTTTGAGGGGCGGCTGCTGGGAGGGTGCACGGCCTGTAAGGGTTATGTGGCGGGATGCGTGGGATTAATTTGTTGGAGGCGGGTGCAGGTTCATAAACGCTGGATACAACCGCATGCAAGAACCAGCCCTCGCATTCCGAGGCGTGGGCTGGTCCTTGAACGGGATTTGGCGCGTGACAGGGACGCAGTAAACATTTGTAGAATGAAGGAGTGAATGAAAATAACTGCTGAAAGTAGAGAGGGAATCCCAGGGAATAAGGTAATTAGTGAGGGAATAACCATAAACTGAAGGAGAGTAAGGGACAGAATGAGTTGCAGGGCATATGTTGGATTAAGAATTGACGAGGGCATAAAAGGGGGGTTTTTTGTTTTGATGTTTTGTTTTGGGCGGTTTTTTGTTTGGTTGATTGGTTTTGATTGTTTGTTTGTTTGAGCCAGGCTTCTTGGTGTCACACGTCTTTATAGTACAGGCAATTTAGTGAGATCATTTAAAAACTAAAGGGGCTGGAAATGTAGCTCAGTGAAGAGGGGCAGAGAGAGAGAGAGAGAGATCAGGATAGGATGACAGTTGTTGAAAAGGATGCCAGGGCAAACTTGGATGGAATGGAGTGTTTGTGGGAAAAGGATGTGGGCATCAAGAGGAGCCTAGAAGGGCATGTGTGTGCCCAAAACTGGGATTCATTGTGGGAAAGTGTGCCAGTGAACAAAGGAGGATGCTGTTTGTATTGAAAGAGTACTTAAGAAAGGAAAGAGGAGAAAGATTTAGGAAGAAAGACCAATGAAAAAGGTGGTGGGGTGAAGAAAGGAGAAAGCAGGCTCCAGAGAGGGGCAGAATTTAAAAACACAGATGTGGCCTCGCCAGAACAGTAGAGGTGGGTAAGAGGAGGTCCTACATAGCCATCCTAACCTACCACCTGCACCTAGATCCATGGAACCCAGTGAAACGCCTGCTGCTCACCACTGCGCTGCTGACTCTGCCTCAGGAGTTGAGACCAAAGCCATCCAGGGCACAGAGCTTATCCCCAGAAGAGCTGTCAGTCGCTCTCCAACTTGCGCCCGCTGCCGCAATCATGGCATCACAGCCCATCTCAAGGGCCATAAGCGCCTCTGCCTCTTTCAGGCTTGCGAGTGTCACAAGTGTGTCCTCATCCTGTGAGTATGAGGTCCCCCAGAAGGCTTACCTTTGCCTTGGACTCCAATGCCTCCTAGCCCTTGGGGCTATGGACACTGGCTGCCTCCAGGCCTCTCCATGTCTAAGGAGGGAAGGCAGATGGACTCCCTATAAAGGCTTTTGACTTGCAACCCACCCCCTCTTTTAGGGAACGTCGGAGGGTCATGGCTGCACAAGTGGCTTTGCGAAGGCAGCAGGAGGCCCAGCTAAAGAGGCATCTAGCTCAGGGACTGGTGAGGAGAGGGGCAACCCCTCTCAAAGTGCCCATCCACGTTAAGAAAGAAGTTACTCAACCAGGGGTCCCATGTGAGTGTCTCTGGCTTCAAATGGGGCACAGATTTGGGTGTAGAAAGCATAAATAGGGAAAAGAAAACCAGTCGTGCCATTTAATGGGCATGTTATCTTGGGCAAGTTGTTTCTACCCTCTGGGCTTCAGCCTCCCAACTATAAAAAAAGGATCAAGTGCAGTGAAATCTTCACGTACAAATTGAGAGAGCTGCCCATGGTGGCACTCCCCTGTAATCCTAGCACTTCATAAACTAAGGCAGGAGCATGACCATGAATTCAAGGCTAGCCTGAATTACATAGTGAGATCTTGTCTCAAAAAAAATAGAAAAGAAAATGATCAGAGACAGATAAGTCAGATGGAGCTTTGAGGAGGAAAGGAGTCCAGAAGAGCACACTAGAGCTCTCCTTGCTCCTTCACAGCTGGAAAGGAGAACATAGCACCCTTGCCTCAGAATCTTCACGGGGCAATCCCACTGGCACTGACACCCCCTGGGAAGGTAAGGCAATCCTATGCCCAGAGGGCATGATATCCACCCTATCTCCTACCCAGATCCCTTCCTCAATGCTCTCAACATCTGGATTCTAGCCCCATCCTCCACTTAGTATCTAATCTTAAGCAAGTCACTTCTTTTGGAAAAATGAGAGGGTAGAATTTTAAGGCCCATACATAGTTTTGGGGTTCTATCCCATCCTAGAATACAGCTTTTCTCCAGCTTTGTACCTAACTGACTTATGCCTTCTACTCTTACAGGAGAACTCCTGTGGGCCTCTGCTGCTCAGCCGTCCCCCAGAAGGCTTGCCTTTACCTTGGACTCCAATGCCTCCCAGCCCTTGGGGCCATGGACACTGGCTGCCTCCAGCCCTCTCCATGCCACCCCCAGTGGTGTGTCGCTTGCTCTGCCAAGAACCTGCTGTCCCTCTGCACCCCTTCCCTGGTAGGAAAAGAATTCAACATTCATTCAGTGCCAGTTTGCCAATGTATCAGAAAGGAAAGAGGAAAGGGGCACAGGTGAGGAATGGGAGTACAGAGCAGTGACTTCTGATCCCTATACACTCTGCATGCTTTGTCTTCCTTAGGTTTTGACTCTGGTACCCCCCTCCGGCTGCCCACTCATGGGTCCCTCCCAGCCTTCCCAGGATCTCGCTCAGTACTGACAGCTCCTCCTCCTCCTGGAGAGCCCCAAGGGCCCCCTAGCCTGCCACACACGTGAGTATAGAGACAGATAGATGTGTATTTATTCCAAGCCTAACTCTGTTATGAATACTGCAGTGGATGATAAAGAAGAAGAGCTCCCAGACTACCAATAGGCAATGCAGAGTGCTCATAGATCTACTGTTTCCTGTCTATGAACCTTTGGACAAGTATCTAAATGTGTCTGAGCCTGTTTTTTTTTTAATGAGTAAATAAAAGATGCTAATCCTTTAAGGTTTTTGTAATAATTAACGATAATGTATAGAATATACCTAACACAGATCCTAACTTGAGGAAATAATGAATATTAAATCTTAAAAAGATGAGATGGAATAGGATTACCTACTGAAATGGAAGATCAGGATGGTAAGATCTTCAGTCTTATCAGAGAAAGATTCTTGAAGGTGGCCTCTGCTCGCCTTCAGATTCCACAGAGACTGGGGAAGGAAACCAGACCTGGCACAGCATGGTCAGTAATCCAAGTCCCTCTAGATATATTGGCCATTTTTTTAAAACTGACACCAAAATCTGAGCTTGGTGGTGCACACCTGTAATCCCAGTATTCTGGAGGCTGAGGCAAAAGGACTGCTGTGAGTTTGAGGCCAGCCCTGTCTCAAAAAAATAAACTGACACCAATGATATCCTGTAATCCTTAAAGTAATCTGGGAAGAAAAATTGTCATGGTTTTTATTTTATAGAAAATAAATCAGGCCAGGGGCTGGGGATTTAGCTCAGCGGCATAAGCGCCTACCTTGCAAGCAGGCAGTCGTGAGTTCGATCCCTGGTACCGATAAAAACAAAAACCACAAAAAAAAAAAAAAAAAAAAAAAAGAAAAGAAATCAGGCCAAGATGAGGCACAACACTTACCCAAACCCACAAAGCTCAAAGGACAAGTAGGTTCTCAGAACTCTAATCCTTATCTTAAATGTTTATACATTTAATCCCCTTGGCATCTCTTCTTGCTTCTAGATGCTCAACTGTGATACTCCAGTCTTGTGGTGCCCCGGACTCTCTTCTGCTACAGCCACAGGTCCTGGGAAAGAAGTGATATCCAGGACCCAGGGAGGCGGTTAAGTCTGAAGAAGGGAAAAGCAAGAGAATGCGAAGGAACTAAAGATAGAGGGGAACACAGAGGGGTGGGCAGAAATGGTGGTTCCCAGGCTTCTTTTCTCTTTCCTTTGCAGGCTCCTGGATCCTCTCGCCTGGCCTGGACATCTCCCCCCTCAGAGTGGCAGCTGCAGCAGGAGGCAGCTGAGGCTCTTGTAGGTCTGAAAGACTCATCCCAGGCTCCCCGACTGAACCCTTCTGTATCCCCCAACCCCGCCTGGATCTCCCTACTCCACCCCTGTGGCCCAACAGGTAACCTGCTTCCTAAAAAGTGGTTGGGAAGTGATGATTAGACTAACCAGAGACTAACCAAGGAAATAGGAAGTCAAAAAATTGAATGCCCTCAGGTCCAGATCCCCAAGCTCCTCAGCTTGCCTCTGGGATTGCAGCTGATGGTTATTTAGTAAATCACTTTTACCAGTTTTGTGACCAGCAACAAATGTTCAGCATCTTGATGTCAAAGAAAATGAGGCCCTTAAAGAGGCAGGGACTTGTCCAAAGGCATATTAGCAAGATAACATGGAGCCTGGTCTCGTGACTGCAGCCCAGTTCTCTCTCTCCAGACCCTAGCCACCTGCTGAAGTCTGGAGAGGGAATGAAGAAGTAACCAGGGTCTGGCCTGGGAGGAGGTAACTGCCTTGCAGGAGCTTCCATTCTAGTTGGGGAACTGAGGTACCTTCACAAGTCTCA